GTCCTAAACACCAAAATGATGATGTCATCGTGGTCATGTACAGCAAAGAAAACAATAAAATGTGACTTTTATTTTGTATTTTTTTTTAAAAAATCTCTATTTAATCAGACAAAAATGTAATTATTCAGAACACTTTTTTAATGCAGTGTGTTTTACACACCCTTCATGTTATTAATTAAAATTATTTTGAGTATCATAGGACTAAGAAGTCAGATTAACAAACTTGTGGTTCAGATAATGATTATTTGATCAAAATTACTTCATTTATTTTACTTACCTGTGAGGATTTGATTAACTGTCACTGATCTGTTGAACTCTTCAGACAGAGTGTCTGGGCCTCCAGCTTCGTCAGCGCTCTGCTCGTTAACTCACAGCTCCTCTCAGATTTACTGCTCAGACTTTGGGACCTGTTTCATAACCAGGTAAATAAATAAACAGTTAAAATCATTCCACCTGTTTTAAATTTACTTTTTAATTAACACAAACCTCTTCTGTCTGAAGGGCCCGTCGCTGACTGCGGCTCATGTACTGGGTTTGGCGGTTTTTGTGGTCCACCTTCACGCTGCCATGTCAGATGACACGTTGTTTCAGCCGGTACCGCCCGTTCATCCTCAGCCGGTACCGTTAGCAGAAGCTCTCAGCTCAGCTCTGCTGTGTGACACTCGCTCGAACATGCTGTTCTCTGTCAGGTTAGATTTTATTTCGTTGGCTTTCGTTGATGATTTTTCGTCCGCAGATACCCAAAAGAGGTTTAAATGAGCACATTTTCCTTGTTATTTAGGGTGTGTGTGGCAGCGGTGTGTTATGGGATTTGTAAAGGAGACTCGGTATCTCAAGAGCAACAGAAATACATCCCCAGCAGTCTTTATAAAAAGGTATCTGTTTCTGTCTCTTTCAAAACAAAAGTCTTTATTTTCATTTTGTTTTTATTTTGTCAGCCATTATTCTGTTATTTAATTTTTCTCCACATGATTTGAATAACATTCAGTAATATTTTGCTTTACCTCAGATTGCAATGGGTTTTTTTTTTTTCTTTTTGTTTTGGAACAAAATAACCCACATTCTTGCCAGTCACTCCTGTCCTTCTGACACTTATAGTTATTTTTTATTGCATTGTTATCAAAGCCTGGTATTAATAATTAATTC